TAATAAAATTTAATATAATTATATTATTAATACTTTAAAATGTAAATTTTTTTTTGTTAATTTGTGTGTTCATTAAATTTTCAGAGTCAAAAATGTCTTCAACATCGCAAAAACACAAAAACTTTGTTACTGAGCCAATGGGAGATAAACCGGTCCAAGATTTAGCCGGAATTGGTGAAGTGTTAGGTAAAAGATTGGAAGCAAAAGGTTTTGATAAGGTAAATATCATTATTTCTGTTAATTATAATTTTTGAATTATCTGTAGAAAATTTGTTTCATAACATTTTTGACATAACATAAAATTTTTATTATACAAAAACATAATTAGTTTTAAGAATCTCATTAGTTACTATTATTTAAGAGGAGTAAAACAAAATTACTTCTATATTAAATCTTTTGTTGGCAAGAAAGTTGCCATAGAGAATAAATTATTCAGATTTTTAATTATGACATCAGTATGTAAAAGGAAAGTCCTGAATTGCTTTTTCTAATCAGAAAAGGTGGATCTTTCTATCTGCAATATAAAAATCTCCATAGCAATTTTCTCATTTAAATAAAAAAAGGAATTTGTTATAAGGTTTTGAATGTAAAGGAAAAATATGATATTTAATTTTGCTGTTTTAGTGATCATGAAATATTTTGCTATATTATAAAGATCCAAGTTTCAGTCATTAAAAATTGAATGATAATGATAAATTCCGAAAATGCTTTAATATTTGTTGAATTTTTTTTTTGTTTGAATTGATGCTCTGATGATTATTCTTGTATTGAAAGTTTTCTGTGAAAGTTAAAAATTTAATTCTAACAATTGATTCATAAGTTTGAATTAGAAAAAACAATGCCACAAAATTAACATTATTCATAACTTAAAACAGAATAAACATTCACTATAGCAACTTTTTTGCATAATTATAACATCCTTATAAGTATGTAATTATGATATCCCTTAAATTATTTCATATCCTTCAAATATTCCATAAATATCTATGTAAATATGATAGAAATTTGAGAAGAGTAAGAAAGTTTAACTGCAGAAATGAATACATTTGCAAGGAGTGGCTAAGAGAACACACTCTTTCAGATAAAATCAAATTGTTCATATTGTTGAATTTTATTTTTCAAATCAAAAGGGATGATTGTCATTTGATAACTAAAAATGTAATGATTATAAATTTATTAATTCTATAATTGAATGACTTTATAATCTGCATTTTCTTACGTACAAAGTATATATAGATGGAGTGTATTATTTTTGGATATTGGTTGATATAGTCAGTGAAAATTTTAAGTGTTGTCTGAAAATAAACATGTTTCATTAAATATCTTTTTATTGACTTCTTTACACACCTAACAGGTGCCTTTAACATATAATTATAAATTGATTCACAACATTTAAGAAATTTCTTTAAAATGCCAGAAAATTATAAGTATGTATATACATATATTGAACTCAACACACACTTCTTAATTACTTACAATTTGAGTTTTATAAAGTAATATAATGAAAAGTTTTTATTTTAAGCACACAAAACAGATATTTACTGTCAGAAGTTTAAGGGAGATATTACATATACTGAAAATGAAAATGCTAGTTTTAATATCAATGAAAATGGAATAAAAATAGATATTGTAAACTGGGGTTACTTCATGACTATAGGAGAAACTTTGAGACATCACTAGGATTTATTTTGAATATAGGAGGTTTATATCTATTTCAAAATTTGTGAGTAAGATACTGACAGCTTTTACTGTGATTTACCTGATTAAAGCTGAAAAGTATAGGACTGGGATGGCAAACCTTTTTGAGCTTGCATGCCATATTGTAAGCGTACTTAGCTTTAAAGATGTTTATACATGCCAAAGTTTTCAGACTTTTAATTTGTTTAAATATCATTATTCAATGAATGTACTTTATTTAGAATACAGTAGAGCATTGTTTATCTGAATCAATTGGGGACTGAGGTTGTTCAGATAACTTATTTTTTGGATAACCAATTATGTATGGAAAAATATATTAACCTATCCCATGTTGAAATTTTTCTCCGTTGCGTGTCACTTTGCATTCAATTTTTTTCGATGTTAAGCCTAACGTAAACTTTTTAAAATAATAATCATGGCTATTGTATCATTAAAAATTATTTCTTTCTTTTTTACAAACAAAATAAATATATTGAAATATATAAAAACAAAAAAAAATTATACTTCAGAAGTTAATCTAGTATCAAAAATGTACGATTCAGCACTACACACAGTCCTCAGAAAAACACCACACAAAAGTGACAGTGCTGCCAACTAAAACACACACCAACCAAAAAAATATTGGAGTAGCCCAAGATATAGCCAAAGATTGCAGTGCCACAGCACTAGCGAAAATTTAAATTTGCCGACTGGAATGCTTTCGGTTAACCAACATTTTGGATAACTGGCTTTCGGATAAACGACACTCTAAATGTAAAAAAAGCTGATTGAAAAAAGTGTGATCAGAAGATAAACTGAAAAGATGATCAGAAAAGACAGATGATTTCTCCTTACATATCACAGATTTGCCACCCCTGATTTAGGACATGATGCTTTCCATTATTGGTGTTTCTTGTGATAACCAAGCAATCAAGTAGTGTTACTATCAAGGAGAGTAGTGAAACAAAAACAGTTGTTACAAATATTTTAAGTTAAAGTAATATTCTCATTTATAATCTATAAATACAATTAATTTTTATTAATTGGTTTCACTTGTGTAAGCTATAGAAATAAATTTTGTGGATTGTGGGGTTAATTTGTGACAGTATGCAAAGATTCTGATGAGAGCATAGGGAGTAAAATTACAGAATTGAGATGCAGACAGCAAAATAAAAAGTCTTTTATAATGGCGATTTAATTTAGTAGACCAAAAAAATTGGTAATCATGTAATTGTAATTTTAGAAGAGTACCACTAATGGAATTATAACAGAAGGGAAAGAAATGGTTTGTGTATGCACTTTTGTGCATGCAATAGAATCTGTTGGAAAATATTGGGAATGGCCTGAAGAAAGACAAGAAATGGCTGATTTGCTGTCTTCATTTTTTTATTGCTCTTATTCTTAACAAGATTTTATAATTCAATATTACATTGTCAATAAGTTTTATATTTCTGGTAGTAATAAAAGTAAGATTTAGTCTGTATTGAAGGATTCAAAATTGTTTTGAGATAATAAAAGTTATTATTTCTAATGAGCGACTTTTTGTTTTCCCCTTTACTCTTCTACTATAGGGTTGTGCAACAAAAGGGTAGACAGGCCCTTCCTGCTCAGACTGACTCATATGTCAGATGAAAGAAATGAGAATTGACACATTGATCACAGTAATAAAATCTGTAAAAAAAAAGTAAAATGATAAAATTAATATAAAAACAGCTGAAAGAAGTAAAACCATGTGTCAACTTTCACATCTCTCTTCATCTGACGTACAACCTTTCAGCTCAGCTGATTCATAGCTGTAGTCTGCACAGCAAGACTAGACATCACCATTGACAACATGGTTCAATACAGATTTATGCAATAAACATAGTCACAAAGATACCCAAAATAATGGGGTAAATTGTGACAAATGTTTTAAACAATATTGTTAAAAATAATAAATTAATAATTAAGAACTGTAAAAAAAGAGGAATGTTAAATTTTCCTAAAATGACAATGTGTTTGGTGCAATAATTCTATAATTAACATTAAATAAGAATGAACACTGTCAGAGTAACTCTGATTACCAGTAATTAACCTAATGTCAAAAAATACAAAAAGGCATTGCCACAACACTATAACAGTGCCAATAAAAGTTTGAACACAAATCATGCAGTCATATTGCCAATGAGGATTTGTGTTGTAAATAATGGGGCTGATGTATGATATTACAGAATGTCATAAATTTTAACATATATGAAAATTATGTAAAGGAAGTATTTTAAACTAAAAAATTGTTTTGATATATATTGTATAGTAAATCCAGCATGATGCCTTTCTTTAATTGAATATAAGAGATGTCATGACCAAAAAATCCTTTGTTACATTACTATTTTTAAAATTTACAATTTTAATTTTTAATATCTGTCTGATATTAAGATAAATGTAAATGTATAATTTTATGATTTTTAAAGCAGTTTTTAAATGTTGTAAATAAATTTTAATTATGTTAAAGGCAACTGAAGAGGAGCATATAGCTCAAAACACATCTTACATGTAGGTGAGTAAATCAAGTTTGTATATTGATCTATAAAAGACAAATTTAAAAAAGATCATGCATGGCTTAATCTTCAAATCGAAGACAGCATAACCCGAAAATAAGTGAATCTGATTCTGTGCTAGTAAAATGCTTTGTCTACTGAATTGTATTTGTTTTAAAAGAAGTATATATAAATAATTCCCCCCTTTTTTTGATATTACATTAATAAATTAGATTGGTGTACATTAATAGAACAGAATAATTAGAGATGCTGAAATTGGATGTTAAATAAAATAATAAAATAGATTAAAAACTATTTAAACTATTCATGATTTCATTAATGTTAATNAGAATACGTAACTAAATTTCCTCATAAAATTTTTATAAAATTTCATCCGCGAGGGGGCTATTGAATTTTGAATCGTTTGTATTCTGTAAGTTTGCCTCATTTTTTTCTTTCAAGTTGGAAATTGCGCTTTTGCACTACTTTACTCGCTTAACCGTACGTATATAAATATATATTGATTAATTTCACATTTATTTATGTTTTATACACCCAATTCTTTAATTAAATTGTAAAGAGTCCAACACTGACGTTAGGGCTAATGACAAAAGAAGTTTGAATTGGAACAAACGTATAAATATTTCAGTTGCAGAAATATCTTCTCGTATTAATGCTACCGAGGAATTTAATTATATTTATTCAATTAATTCCAGTTTTTAGATGTATCATCACTTTATTTATTAAGTGTTTATGGTTATTGATGACAATAGAAAGTTGTGTGTTAAAAAATCTAGTGTTTAAATGACAACACGTGACTTTACAAGATGTGTGATGTCAGAATATGTTATGGTTTATTGATTTTTCAATCATACAATTGAGGGAAAAGTAAATAACAGTTGCTAAGTTCAAAATATAACAAGAATTAAATTAAACAAATAAATCAAGGGTTGTGAGATAAAGTGAGAACATATAAATTATAATAAAGCCTTAACAACACAAGTTATCTTATAAAAGCTGGAATTTCTTGAATAAAATTGTACAAATGCACCTTTCGTACGTTTCTGGCGTTAATTTTACATGCAGATTGGTTCAGTGTGTAAAATTAACAGCACTTGTGCTGATTGGGGGTACGGCTATTTGAGAGGTTTTCTTCCATAAAATTAACCAAATCTAGAGTAATTTCACTCGAATATTTCCAAAACACGTATAATTTGTTGGAAATGATCAATATAAAATATGCTATGAACAAAAAATTGTCGGAATACTTATCGAGTGTACCCCGTTTGAAGACGCCATTGCTTAAGCTTGTTTTTGCTGCGGAGCGTCATATCGGACGGCGGACGCATATGAAGCGTGTCACGTGACTACTCATATCTGATGTGTTCCTGATAACTTACTCTTTTTGCGAAGAATTCGCTGAACTTTAGAGACATCACGTGATAGATTATAATATACTATACGATTTTTATTGTAATTAGAAATGACTTATTATTATTATTATTGACTATATGAAGCAACAAAGAAAAAACCACTCGCTAACGACAATAATTCTATCATGATAAATATTAATCAGATGCAACATAAGATGTCTAATGTCTTGATGTAAATAAATATACAATTTTGTTTACATGAGAGATTAGGCCATTTAAAAGTAGAGCAGAATTATTAGTTATTTATTGCATTATTATATGTTGATTTTAATCCATATTTAGAATGGAATGAAGTTTTGGTAATATTTCTATTAATAATGTGATTAAGTTCAACGAATTTGTCGCAAAAAGAGTAAGTTATCAGGAAATACGTCAGAGACAATTAGTCGCGTGACCGAATAGCACCGACAAATGTCACGTGACATGCTTCGTATGCGTCTGCCGTCCGATATGACGTTCTGCAACGAAAACAAGCTTAAGCAATGGCGTCTCCAAAGGGGTACACTCAATAGGTATTCCGACAATTTTTTGCTCATAGCATATTTTATGTCGATCATTTCCAACAAATTATACGTGTTTTGGAAATATTTGAGTGAAATTACTCTAGATTTGGTTAATTTTATGGAAGAAAACCTCTCAAATAGCCGTACCCCCAATCAGCACAAGTGCCAAATTAACACCAGATATGTATGAAAGGTGTGTTTGTATGATATACAGGGTGTTTTTTGTAAACTGATGGTACTCAGAGACATCTGTAGAGCAATCTAACAGCCAGACTGTCGCCAAATTTGGGATAGTGACTAAGGACGAAATGGGAGAGATTCTGCGAAGAAAAAAAAATAGTACCTAAATTTGCCGGTAGGGATGGATTTGTCACTGTTGTAGCGAAATGGCTAAGAATTTGCATAAAACCCAGCTGCAATTAACAAACACACGAATGAATAATCAGACAGAGGTTTCAGTGCAATAATTAAAGTTTAACTAATCAGAAAATAACCTTCTCCCTCCTTCAATGTGACCACTGTCCTGCTGGACAACACATTGCATCCTGAACACCATGTTCTCTACGGCCGAACGTAACAAGTTCACAGGAATGTTCATCACAGTTCGAGAAATGTTGTCCTTCAAGGTCATCAAGTTGGGGACACCACCAAGGTAGACTTTGGACTTTAAGCAACCCCAGAGGAAAAAGTCACGTGGGGTTAGATCCAGAGAGTGAGGCGGCCATGCAAGTGGAAAAAAGCGAATGATGCCCCCTTCTTCAGTGAAGTGCTGGTGCAACACATTCCACACCATGAGACCAATGTGTGGTGGTACTCCATCCTGCATAAAGATTGTCTCATCCAGGCATTGTCATTGCTGAAGTTGTGAAATGACAAAATTAGTCAGCATATTGTGATATCTTTTCTTAGTAACAGTACAGATCTGTGGTCCTGTTTGAGTGATGTTCTCAAAAAAGAATGGTCCAATGATGAAATCTGCTGTAAAGCCACATCAAACAGTGAGTTTTGGTGAATGCAATGGGATTTGCACAACCTCCTGGGGGTGTGCCCAAATGCAGCAATTTTGAGTGTTTACGTTCCCATTTAGGTAAAAATGGGCCTCATCTCCCTAGAGAATTGTCCATAGCCAAGCATCGTCCACCTCCATCCTGGCAAGAAATGTCAACTGGGTAGCATGGTTGTTTGGTTTTAATTCTTACAGGCAGCTTATCTTGTATGGATAGAACTTGAGAACTTTTCACAGAACTTGCCATACCGTCAAAGGCATCATTTCCAATTGTCGTACTACTCCCCGGGTACTGCTACTACCAGCAACGGTCCCCTGTGAGTCTTCAATGAGTGCAGTCGCAACATCACTAACTGTCTATGCAGACACCAATTTCTGCCCTCTATCAGGCCGAACTGCTAAGGATCCTGTCTCTTCAAATTTCTTTATCAAGTATTTCAATGCATTAATTGATAGAGTTCCTCGTGCACTCAATTGGTTAAGATGATAAAGTTTCACAGCAACGCACACTGAGGTAACAAAAGATGCATGTTGAACTCTGCTGACGTCTTGAATGTGCTTCGGACTTTTGTCCTTGTCTTTTAAGTTCAAATTAGGTGGCTCTGCTGTTGACCACGTCATTGTGAATTTGGATTTTGAGGTGTTACCAGCGCGTTATGCAAATTCTTAGCTGTTTCGCTACAGCAGCGCCAAATCCACCCTGCCAGCAAATTTGGGTACTACTATTTTTCTTTGCAGAATTTTTTCCCATGTCATCTTTAGTCACTCTACCAAATTTGGCAAAAGTCTGGCTGTTATACCCCATTTGCACCGAGCATTTCGATCTAGATTGTGACTAAGGTTGGAGACTGTTCCATGGTGTGAATGCTCTTGACCGTTTCAATTGCGATAGACTGGAGAGAGTTCTCGAAACTAGATCCAGTCATAAGAGAGATCCCACAATCACACGCGCATGAGAAAATACAAGATGGCTGCGGAACACTTGTCGGGCTATCGACAGAGAAATAAAAGACATCTGGAGGGACGATGACATCTGTCTGTTATTAGATGTATGGCAAGAAAAAGTATTTATTTCTAACCAAAACTTCCATTTTGTTTGTTGGTGTTTGCGACTTACCGCATAGTTAAGTCAGTTTTATGATCACGTGTAATAGCCAGGTTCTTCTCGAGCGGACTGCCTGTGCGAACAGCACAACATTCAACTAGTGACATTCACAATCCAGATTGTAGGTAAATCAAGATCGAAGTGAGTCGTGGATTGTGTGCGAACGTAGTATTAGATTGCTCTACAGATGTCTCTGAGTACCATCAGTTTAAAAAAAAACACCACACACACATTTTTATATTGGTGAACTTTCAAGAGATCTAAATTTACTATAAGGACTGACAATTCTATTGCAAATAACTGTTTATAAACTATTCTTGACATTACTTTTAAATTATTTTAAACAGGTTTTTGCATTTTATCTGCTTTATCAAATAGTACAAAGTTAAAAATGCTATTGTTAATGCCACTTAGAGTTATGAAGTCATTTTTCTTTTGAACGGTAGTATCTAAATATAGTGTGTTATTTTAAGAATTCAAAGCTTATTTTGTTTTGAATTTTAAAACCTAGTGATTAAATAAAGCATTTTGTAATAGTTGTGCTCAGTTTCTTATTAATTTGGTGATTTTAGACAGCTGATACATTGTCTCAATGTATTTTTTATCTTAGTTTTTATTTTGATGATATGCCAACATTACAGATAATTATTGTAGGCTTATATTTGTTATATATTGATCTATTTAGAAAAAATTCATTATCAGTGAAAAATTTAAAACACTATTTCGTATGACTGGTGAAAATAAAAGCATTGTTAAATCAATTTTATATAGACAGCCCACAACCAGGATAACTTTATTACGACTCTCTTACAAATGCATTTTGGATAAACATTTTAGTGCTGACTGTGTTTAGCTATAAATAAAATCAAAGTTAAAACTACAAAATACATGAATAAATACACAATACCCTTTCATACCTACTTATTATATGTAATCAATTTTCTCTACCCATTAAACTACCAATATACTTTTGTAAAATCCCATGATATAAACACTTCTATTTTTTAAAACCAATCATTATATAAAAAATTATTTACTTAATAAGATTCAATTGTCATTAATGTTTTAGGTACTTTTACCTTTATCTTCAGTCTTTGTGAAATTGTTTCTTGTGAAGTTGTCTGAATTCATAAAAAATGAAGTTAATTTTTCTTATTAAACCTGAAAATTTTAAGAAAAAAATTTATTTTGAACTTGCACTTTAAAATATTTCAAAAATAAGAGTTTACTAGTAGTATAATTTTTATTTGGAATTTTATATATTAAAGCTGACAATGGAAATATACAATGTAAATTAAATTTCAAAATGAATTCTAATTATTAATCTTGGTGTAAGATGATGTAATTGTCTATCTTTAAATCAAATTATTGTTTTTAATTAATTTAAAATGTAAATCTTCACTAGTAATGGTATTGTTAGACATTTAAAGACTATATTATTTTCAATTAAATTAATAATTATAAACAAAGTAATTGTTTTTACTCTACTGAATTCAAATAAGTTTGTGTGTGAAAATTGTAACACCTCACACTGGATCATGAGATGATTCTAGGACAACAAAAGTCAAAAAATGCATAACTGATGATGACTGTTACATATTTATGAATTAACAAACAACATTCCAGTGAGTCAATTTCTATTGATAATTTTTAAAATATGCCCCTTGGCATTGATAAGCAACAAAAGAAAAGCATCGGTTTTATCTTGGAATCATAATGTTAGCGTCGTGTTCTGACTTGTTTTGAATAGTTGTTTCGCTGTCTGTTTTGAGCATTTTTATCCAATGTTCAGAAGAATAGTAATCTCCAAGATATGTACAGTGTTTTAATAAGTATATTTTATTAATAATAGTCAATGGTGAGATTTTAAATAAAACAATTGCAAACCCAAGGTATTTTTACACTTTATTTTAAATAAGTAGAACCTTAAAACTTCTGCATCTTTTTTCATATGTCTTTCTACATTTTAATTTAATTTTTCCTGAATTTTTGAAGGTTTTATAATTATGTCTAACAGATATTTGTGCGGGAAAACGTGCGGATTTTGATATATGCGTTTTTTGTTTCACAGGACGTCGGCTTGTAGTCAGCAGGAGTGAACTTTTTTGAAAAATTAAGAGAAAAAGATAAAATGATAAGCAGGTCATTCAAAGTAACAAATGTTATCTTAGACTATATTAAAAAAAAGTTTAACTCTTTAAACATGAAATCAGCCTAAATTGGCTTAATATGTGCATTTGATAATATTTTATTTGTGATTAAACAAAATAAAATTAAATAAATCTAATTTTATTTATTTTGAACATTAAAGTCACACTTCGTCCTATATGTGAGATCATCTTATAAGCGAGTAAATATACAGTAGTGACTTGTCCCTGTACATTGTACTTTTCCTTTAACAATAGAGTTGTGCCTGTCATCTCTCTCACCTGTTGGGAAAATTTTTGAATTAAAATAATGTGACTTCCAGTTTGCATTGGAAGTTCATACCGTGTTTCCCTGAAAATAAGACAGTGTCTTATAATAATTTTTGCTCTCAAAGATGTGCTAGGTCTTATTTTCAGGGGATGTCTTATTTTCCACGGAGAAGAATTCACATTTATTGTTGAACAAAAAAATTCCCAACTCGAACTTAGACGAGAGTGACGTATATCCGGTCGTCGAACTGAACTTAAATAAAAATGAAGTGAACTTACAAAGTTCCCGTGCTGGAGTGGACTTCCCATTCTCGCTTCAACTTAACCTTTTCATAGCATAGACATTGGGCTCAATGACCAATTAGTGCTTACTGAACCATAGCACTATGCAAATGTGATGTGGCGTGATTCCCGGCTGACCAATTAGCGATCACCAGCCATAACGTTATACAAATCTGATTTCCAAGCCATAGTCTTATGCAAATTATGCCGTGTGGCATGATTGTCTGCTGGCCAATCAGTGGCTGTACTTTCAAAAAGCCAACGGCCACTTTCAACCATCTGTCGATGACCGTTACAAGTAAAAAATCTTTGCTAGGTCTTACTTTTGGGGGAGGCCTTATATTTAGCAATTCAGCAAAACCTCTGCTAGGTCTTATTTTCGGGGAAACACAGTATATAGTTAATCGGGGTCTCCTGCCCCTAAAGTTTCCGTATCTTGTCTTGTCTTTCATCTATCTAACTCCATTCTCTAGATTAAAGAAAGATGAATGGACCAGTGGGAATTTATAGGTCTACAATTTTTTCAGTAGCATTACAGGAGGGAGAAATTCCATTTTATAGTATTGGTTTAAGAAGTTTTGTAAAATACTTTAAATCTATTGCAGGATAATAAAAATATTACTTTTAACTCCTAATTTTTTGTACTTGTCTATATTTGTTATCTAAACAAAATTTTAAAAATGCATATCATTGAAGATGATGATGCTTTATAATTTTGCTTGATACATTAGCTGACTAAACATATTTTAAAACTGAGATATGATATTTAAGACTAAAGTAGGAAAGACAAATATTTTTGTATTACAATCTATTGATTATAGGAATCTTAGTTTGTTTTTAGGATATTCAGGATAAGCAAATGGAAGTAATAAAATATTAGCTTCTTGTCATGTAACATGTGACATAGTACAGAGTTGCCTTAAGATTTGTAAATTTGTAGAGTGCATTATTTGACACAATGACTGAGTTTGAATGAATTATTTAGAATAAACAGTTTGGTGCATCACATCTTCATTAAAAATGTCCAAGAAATTGTCTTAAAAATACATTTTATTTAAGTTAATATACTTTTGTCATTATAAATGTACTTAACAGATCTTTCCTTATAGGTAACTGCTAGAACTGAAGCTTTTTAATCCACTCTGTTATCTTCAAGGAAAGTCTGTCATGAGTCATCATTATGGATCTAATTCATCAAGAACTCAAATCATTCATTTTTTTAGAAATCAATAATTTAAAATTCTATAGAGAAATGAACAAAAAACATACAATGGATACTGTTATAAAATTTATTGGAAAGGATTGTAGAGGTTGCATAATAATGTCATCATCAGCCTTTTCATATCTATTGCTTAACATAAACGTTCCCAACTGTTTCCCAGCATGTGCATAGATCTCTCTCCATTGTGTTCTAATCTTCCCGTCTTTTTCTATCTCTGGATTGCCATTCAGTCATGCTTTTACTCCATTTATCATTATGGTTTCTCATCTCCACTTACCTCGTTAACTTCTCTATATCTGTAACATTGATTAAATTTTTCATTTGGTATTATACTGCCACAAAAGGAGACGTACTGATGAAAGAACTATACATTTTTTTTTATAAGTCAAGTTATAAAACTCCATTTGATAAGTTTATTTAAGTGTCTGATCACAAACTTTTACATAATTTTATAATAAAATATTTACTAAGCATTTGTGTTAATATGCTAATACATAAAATTTTTAATATCAAATATTTATGGCTTAAATTTTTATATATAAAAAATAATTTAAAGTANAAGTAATAAAATTTAATATAATTATATTATTAATACTTTAAAATGTAAATTTTTTTTTGTTAATTTGTGTGTTCATTAAATTTTCAGAGTCAAAAATGTCTTCAACATCGCAAAAACACAAAAACTTTGTTACTGAGCCAATGGGAGATAAACCGGTCCAAGATTTAGCCGGAATTGGTGAAGTGTTAGGTAAAAGATTGGAAGCAAAAGGTTTTGATAAGGTAAATATCATTATTTCTGTTAATTATAATTTTTGAATTATCTGTAGAAAATTTGTTTCATAACATTTTTGACATAACATAAAATTTTTATTATACAAAAACATAATTAGTTTTAAGAATCTCATTAGTTACTATTATTTAAGAGGAGTAAAACAAAATTACTTCTATATTAAATCTTTTGTTGGCAAGAAAGTTGCCATAGAGAATAAATTATTCAGATTTTTAATTATGACATCAGTATGTAAAAGGAAAGTCCTGAATTGCTTTTTCTAATCAGAAAAGGTGGATCTTTCTATCTGCAATATAAAAATCTCCATAGCAATTTTCTCATTTAAATAAAAAAAGGAATTTGTTATAAGGTTTTGAATGTAAAGGAAAAATATGATATTTAATTTTGCTGTTTTAGTGATCATGAAATATTTTGCTATATTATAAAGATCCAAGTTTCAGTCATTAAAAATTGAATGATAATGATAAATTCCGAAAATGCTTTAATATTTGTTGAATTTTTTTTTTTGTTTGAATTGATGCTCTGATGATTATTCTTGTATTGAAAGTTTTCTGTGAAAGTTAAAAATTTAATTCTAACAATTGATTCATAAGTTTGAATTAGAAAAAACAATGCCACAAAATTAACATTATTCATAACTTAAAACAGAATAAACATTCACTATAGCAACTTTTTTGCATAATTATAACATCCTTATAAGTATGTAATTATGATATCCCTTAAATTATTTCATATCCTTCAAATATTCCATAAATATCTATGTAAATATGATAGAAATTTGAGAAGAGTAAGAAAGTTTAACTGCAGAAATGAATACATTTGCAAGGAGTGGCTAAGAGAACACACTCTTTCAGATAAAATCAAATTGTTCATATTGTTGAATTTTATTTTTCAAATCAAAAGGGATGATTGTCATTTGATAACTAAAAATGTAATGATTATAAATTTATTAATTCTATAATTGAATGACTTTATAATCTGCATTTTCTTACGTACAAAGTATATATAGATGGAGTGTATTATTTTTGGATATTGGTTGATATAGTCAGTGAAAATTTTAAGTGTTGTCTGAAAATAAACATGTTTCATTAAATATCTTTTTATTGACTTCTTTACACACCTAACAGGTGCCTTTAACATATAATTATAAATTGATTCACAACATTTAAGAAATTTCTTTAAAATGCCAGAAAATTATAAGTATGTATATACATATATTGAACTCAACACACACTTCTTAATTACTTACAATTTGAGTTTTATAAAGTAATATAATGAAAAGTTTTTATTTTAAGCACACAAAACAGATATTTACTGTCAGAAGTTTAAGGGAGATATTACATATACTGAAAATGAAAATGCTAGTTTTAATATCAATGAAAATGGAATAAAAATAGATATTGTAAACTGGGGTTACTTCATGACTATAGGAGAAACTTTGAGACATCACTAGGATTTATTTTGAATATAGGAGGTTTATATCTATTTCAAAATTTGTGAGTAAGATACTGACAGCTTTTACTGTGATTTACCTGATTAAAGCTGAAAAGTATAGGACTGGGATGGCAAACCTTTTTGAGCTTGCATGCCATATTGTAAGCGTACTTAGCTTTAAAGATGTTTATACATGCCAAAGTTTTCAGACTTTTAATTTGTTTAAATATCATTATTCAATGAATGTACTTTATTTAGAATACAGTAGAGCATTGTTTATCTGAATCAATTGGGGACTGAGGTTGTTCAGATAACTTATTTTTTGGATAACCAATTATGTATGGAAAAATATATTAACCTATCCCATGTTGAAATTTTTCTCCGTTGCGTGTCACTTTGCATTGAATTTTTTTCGATGTTAAGCCTAACGTAAACTTTTTAAAATAATAATCATGGCTATTGTATCATTAAAAATTATTTCTTTCTTTTTTACAAACAAAATAAATATATTGAAATATATAAAAACAAAAAAAAATTATACTTCAGAAGTTAATCTAGTATCAAAAATGTACGATTCAGCACTACACACAGTCCTCAGAAAAACACCACACAAAAGTGACAGTGCTGCCAACTAAAACACACACCAACCAAAAAAATATTGGAGTAGCCCAAGATATAGCCAAAGATTGCAGTGCCACAGCACTAGCGAAAATTTAAATTTGCCGACTGGAATGCTTTCGGTTAACCAACATTTTGGATAACTGGCTTTCGGATAAACGACACTCTAAATGTAAAAAAAGCTGATTGAAAAAAGTGTGATCAGAAGATAAACTGAAAAGATGATCAGAAAAGACAGATGATTTCTCCTTACATATCACAGATTTGCCACCCCTGATTTAGGACATGATGCTTTCCATTATTGGTGTTTCTTGTGATAACCAAGCAATCAAGTAGTGTTACTATCAAGGAGAGTAGTGAAACAAAAACAGTTGTTACAAATATTTTAAGTTAAAGTAATATTCTCATTTATAATCTATAAATACAATTAATTTTTATTAATTGGTTTCACTTGTGTAAGCTATAGAAATAAATTTTGTGGATTGTGGGGTTAATTTGTGACAGTATGCAAAGATTCTGATGAGAGCATAGGGAGTAAAATTACAGAATTGAGATGCAGACAGCAAAATAAAAAGTCTTTTATAATGGCGATTTAATTTAGTAGACCAAAAAAATTGGTAATCATGTAATTGTAATTTTAGAAGAGTACCACTAATGGAATTATAACAGAAGGGAAAGAAATGGTTTGTGTATGCACTTTTGTGCATGCAATAGAATCTGTTGGAAAATATTGGGAATGGCCTGAAGAAAGACAAGAAATGGCTGATTTGCTGTCTTCATTTTTTTATTGCTCTTATTCTTAACAAGATTTTATAATTCAATATTACATTGTCAATAAGTTTTATATTTCTGGTAGTAATAAAAGTAAGATTTAGTCTGTATTGAAGGATTCAAAATTGTTTTGAGATAATAAAAGTTATTATTTCTAATGAGCGACTTTTTGTTTTCCCCTTTACTCTTCTACTATAGGGTTGTGCAACAAAAGGGTAGACAGGCCCTTCCTGCTCAGACTGACTCATATGTCAGATGAAAGAAATGAGAATTGACACATTGATCACAGTAATAAAATCTGTAAAAAAAAAGTAAAATGATAAAATTAATATAAAAACAGCTGAAAGAAGTAAAACCATGTGTCAACTTTCACATCTCTCTTCATCTGACGTACAACCTTTCAGCTCAGCTGATTCATAGCTGTAGTCTGCACAGCAAGACTAGACATCACCATTGACAACATGGTTCAATACAGATTTATGCAATAAACATAGTCACAAAGATACCCAAAATAATGGGGTAAATTGTGACAAATGTTTTAAACAATATTGTTAAAAATAATAAATTAATAATTAAGAACTGTAAAAAAAGAGGAATGTTAAATTTTCCTAAAATGACAATGTGTTTGGTGCAATAATTCTATAATTAACATTAAATAAGAATGAACACTGTCAGAGTAACTCTGATTACCAGTAATTAACCTAATGTCAAAAAATACAAAAAGGCATTGCCACAACACTATAACAGTGCCAATAAAAGTTTGAACACAAATCATGCAGTCATATTGCCAATGAGGATTTGTGTTGTAAATAATGGGGCTGATGTATGATATTACAGAATGTCATAAATTTTAACATATATGAAAATTATGTAAAGGAAGTATTTTAAACTAAAAAATTGTTTTGATATATATTGTATAGTAAATCCAGCATGATGCCTTTCTTTAATTGAATATAAGAGATGTCATGACCAAAAAATCCTTTGTTACATTACTATTTTTAAAATTTACAATTTTAATTTTTAATATCTGTCTGATATTAAGATAAATGTAAATGTATAATTTTATGATTTTTAAAGCAGTTTTTAAATGTTGTAAATAAATTTTAATTATGTTAAAGGCAACTGAAGAGGAGCATATAGCTCAAAACACATCTTACATGTAGGTGAGTAAATCAAGTTTGTATATTGATCTATAAAAGACAAATTTAAAAAAGATCATGCATGGCTTAATCTTCAAATCGAAGACAGCATAACCCGAAAATAAGTGAATCTGATTCTGTGCTAGTAAAATGCTTTGTCTACTGAATTGTATTTGTTTTAAAAGAAGTATATATAAATAATTCCCCCCTTTTTTTGATATTACATTAATAAATTAGATTGGTGTACATTAATAGAACAGAATAATTAGAGATGCTGAAATTGGATGTTAAATAAAATAATAAAATAGATTAAAAACTATTTAAACTATTCATGATTTCATTAATGTTAATCATGAAAATAAATATTTAAATAAATGAATTAAAATGACAAATGCTATGAGATATGAATAAAATGTTTTGCTATTTGTATATTAAGTAATTAATATTAGATATTAGAACAGTTATTTTAAAGCAATTAGAAAATGGACCAAAATTTCATGATGAATACTTTCAGCAAGATTACCTCATCAGTGATAAAACAAAGTAATGTGTGGATTAGAAAAATTAATAAACAGGAATTATTATTATTATTATTATTATTATTATTATGGAATGACTTGGTAAACTTTTTTTTTATGACAATAAATTGGTCTTATTGAAATTTTTAATTTTATTCAACTTAACTAATTGCTTTGAAATAATTGTTTCTCTTAAGATCTATTTTTTTGAAAAACCATTAAGATTTTATTATAAAAAAAGAAAATTTCAGCTTGCATAATTGTTACAAAAGATTTTTAAATTCATTTTTTAAAGATGAAGCTAAAATAGAAATGTATTTTAACTTATTTTTGCAATTATATGTATTATAAATTATTATAATACATATAATTGCACTATAAATTATTTGTATTAAGTAGAGAGTATATTTTAAATTACTTAACCACTATAAATTATTTGTATTAAGTAGAGAGTATATTTATTACTTTATAATCAGTTTGAGTTGCATGATTGATTGGAATTAGTACTGAGAATTGGAAGTATAAAGTATCTTTCAGTAATCAGAATGGAAATTTATCATGATTTCTGATTTTTAAGAAGATTATTTAACGTGTAATAAGTAATTTGTTATTTTAAGTAATGATTATAATCATAATTTAAACAATCAAGCATTATAAAGTTTCATTTTGTTTGCCAAAAGTAAAGAATAAAGCTATTTTGCATTGTCACTTAAGATTATGCAAGATTAAATGAATTCTGTGCAGCATGTGACATGAAACCTGAAACTGTGGTAAGAAATAACAGTAACACAGATCATCAGAACGGGTAATCAGTGTTACCAGATTTGCCTTTTGAGAAAGAGAAAATGGTAAAAATTTTAGAATATGAAATCTTACTGGGATTGTATTTGGCATAAATTAAACTTGCCATTAATATATTGCCAGCAATAATATCAATTAGGTGTAAACAACAGTTTTTCTTAAACTGGTGTCAAAATTATACTATTGAAATTCTATTACTGTGCTTTACTTAATAAATATCTCCGTGTATGTTTTGATGTTGCAGCTACATTGAAAACTCTTAATCCACTAGTTGATAAAAGCAATTATGTCATCAGTTTCTTGTTTGGTGTAGTTTTAAATAAAGATTTATAATAAATTAGTCATACTGTTAAGTATTGTTTATTTCTAACATAATAATTCAACTTATAGGATTTTAGAATAAAAAATAGCAATAGAATAAATTTGCATCTTTTGACACGTTAATGTGTAAGCCATTTGACTTGTTTGAATGAAAATTATTTCACAACCTGAAAGTACAGTACATGATTAGTACTATTATATTCCCTGCTTTGAGACTATCCAACTATAAGTTATAATGAAAATAATAATTCAATGAATTTATAAATAAAATTTTGAAAACAAAATATATGTAAATCAAGTAGTATCAAAATTTAAAATACTTTTTTGGAATTGTTTTTGAAGATATTATATTTTGCCATGCTATTGCTATTCTCTCATCATTTTACAATTTATTAAATATGCTACTTTAAATCATAAATCTAAATTTATTTTTTAAAATGATATTTGAGAAATCCCAGCTTCAGTGTAGTCTGTTACATAATTCTTAAGTACATTTTAAACTATATAAAGCTATACTGTTAACTCCTTTACATTTTAATAATACTTTATAACATTTTTACAGTTACAATAACAATAATTTAATTTTTCAACTTAAATGTTAGGCACACTAATGATCCAGTTGTTGTATTGATGTTTTTGTGAGAATTTACACATCTGTGCTATCTGTTAATGCCAGGTGTCTCAAGGTTTTTTTATTCTATCTTGAAATGTTAAACCATGCATATATGTCTGAAGATATAACAAAAAATATATGAAACAGTAGGTAATCAACGAATGACACTGTGTAGTTTCATTATTCGGAAAATATAATCTTACAAAAAAGTACGAGTTAGTTATGTGAAATCAAATTTCAAGACATTGAAACTAAAATTCTTTTCATTGATAAAGGATACAAACATTTTATCGTAGTTATGCATTATAAACAACTAGACATTAAATTAGTTTGATATATCAATGACAATAAATTTGTTAAATATTAGAACTGTATCATGCAGAATTAGATTATGTGCATATTTACTTTGATATTCCTTTGAAAATTGCATCAATTGTCTACAGAAATTTACATCTTTAATTAACCCATGCAGACCTATATAAGCCATTGCCTCGTATATGAGAAGTCGCATGCTCTCTGCTTTGTTGACAGATTAGGCATCAAGTGAGATACCAGCAATTACAGCTTTAATACTAAATGAGGTTTGGCCAATGATGCAATGTGTCAAACAAATATCATTATTGTCATGCTTTGAATTCATTCATTCAAGCCAGGTTTTCCTAAATGTACAATTGTGAACTTTTTCAAGGAAAGAAGAATCAGATGAATGTCTAGACTGAAAAATCAATTTTTAAAACTCAAAACGGCAGTAAATTTAGCACAAATAATTATTTTTACTTAGATTGTGCAAATTGAATTTGTTATGATCCACAGTATCATCTGTGAATCATGACAAAAACACTTCTTTATAAGCAAAACTAATATAGCTTAAACAACACCTTAAATTCTATTTTCAGCAACACTAATTTCTTTAAATGAAAGTTTTTGGCCCCTTTTTATAGGTCTGCATTGGGTTTAACAAGAAGATTCAAACTGTCTTAGTTCGAATCTTCTTGTTTGACCTGATGCAGACTTATATACACCATCAAGCATGTATGGGGGCGTCGTGTGCTCTCTGCTTTGTTGACACAAAAGCTTTTAATAAACTAATACTTAATTGTTAATATCATAATTTGAAAAATTTTTAATCTTTGACTAAAACAAATAATTAACTTTCTTGTTAAATATGGAAGAATTGTTTTAAGAATCTGAAATTGTGAGATTTGCTTGATTTAGATACAAAAAATGTGAAGAAGAACTTGGTGTTTCTATAGTACCTATCAAAAAAACTGAAAATAAGGGATAATATAGTTTGATTAGAGCATGACTTTCCAATTTATTAAATTTAGCCTCATTTGTTCTGAAGAATGTATATAGTAAACTGGGACAAAATGAAGCTGTTAAAAGAAGCCAAGTATTACTTAAACAATTAAAAATATAGATAATCTATACTGTGCAGACTGATTACAATTTATGATGAAAATGTATTATCATATACTTTACAATTAAACTTTCTTAACATATGGTAGTTTGAATTTTGACTGTTTAATTAAATAATTTGTTAAAGTTAGATATTTTTGTATTTTTTAAAATGTGATTTATTAATTACTGTTCAACATTAATCATTAAAGCAATGCTCTACTTTGAAATATTTAATTTATTTGAAAAAATTAACAAGTTATAGTTTGTGAGATGGAATTTTACTTCCAAATTAGCATATGGTAATATGATGACTGAGACATTATCAATGTTCCTTTGTGTATGCCAGTTTGAAGGTGTTTGTTCCACAAATAATTGCTTGTTATCTTATTTTTTCCAAATAAATTATCTGATGATGACTATGGATTTAATTGAAAATATTAAGAACAATAAATTCTGCTGGATAAAGGTGTGTTTATATATCAAATTTAAATACATTTTATTCTGTTTTGAGTTTATTTTTAAGTTAATTTTTATTTAAAATGTTAAATAATTATATAACATCATTTTACTATACTAAATAAACATTTTTGTTAATAAAGGCTCACGTGGTGTTAGGACAATTTTTAGTTTTGAAGAAGAATAAAGAACTGTTTATCGACTGGATGAAAGACATCTGCGGCTCCAACAGCAAACAGGCCTCGGATTGCTATCAGTGTCTTTCGGATTGGTGCGATGACTTTTTGTGAATTTACAAATGTCAAAAAAAAATTGCTTCATCATATTATACTGGTTATAATTTGCCACCACTGTAAATATAGATTACCATAGTCATGTATCTGTGGTGATTTTTAAAACACTGCTTTTAATATTTGTAACGAATTAACCTAAGTTATCATATTTGTTCTATAATATCTATTTTATATACATGTATTGAATCACATGTGTCTAAACAAGTGTTTGAGATAGACATTTTCAAATAAAAATAAAATTCTTACATGATTATTTTGTGACTTATTGTGTCCTCACGTTTAAACACTTTTTATACACACTGTAGAAACGTCAACTACAATAAAAAATACCACTAGCATTACATATTATTTATTGTGATTTGTATAAATTGTTCTAGAATATTTGGTTTTTGTTATGATTAAAATATTATTATTGTTGGGTTTCTTATTACATAAAGATCCTATATCACTAAAGGTTTTTCTTTTAAAAAAGACTTGTAAACAAGAAGGATTTTTAATTACTACAATTAAGCAGCAGACCAGGATTTTATTTTTTTCACATCTAAATTTCTCACTTAAGATCGTAGATAAGATATAATTGTTGACTTTGTAATTTGCAGACAATGTTAGTCTCTAACATTGTCTGCAAATTTTCGTTAGTCATTGTGACAAAGGATCGAAAATTTCAGTATTATGCAAAATGTGTGTCTAGAGAACGTACTTCTAGTTGAAAAGTAACTAAATTTTAAATAACTCGAACATCACGAAGGTTTCCTTTATAAAAATTTGATGAATTCAAAGCTTTTCCTGATGAATTCTTTAAACATTCAACCACTACACTAATCTGGATTTATCTGATATGTCACGAAGAATGTATCCTATATAAACAAAAGTATTTTATCACAATTTTCATTATTAATGAAAAGTTTTATAGATTTTTCAAACTGATATAATTAGATTTATACATAAATTATGATACCAAATGATGAAAGCTGTTAAAATCTTGAATCGTAATTAAACACGAACAGATTTAATAGTCACGTTCTTTAGTGAATATTTAATTATTTAAATCAGAACGAAAAACACTGTCTTTCGTTAAATCAAATTTTAAATCTGGATGTTTGATGATTGGTCGAGTTTAGAAGTAGGCGTGTTTGTTTATTTCTCTAGCTAATCGTCGTTTTAAAAGCGCTTAGTTTTTGTAGGCTTACAAATTAAGCAGAGAACCACCTATACTCAAACTTTAGCTTGCTTTTGTTTCTCTTAAATCTTTCAAGATTCAATCGCTGCTTTTCTGTGTAAATGAAGAAAATTTAAAATATTTTAACGTGTTGAAAGGATATTTATATATAAAGTTTAGTAAATTTGCAAATGATATTTAATATAACATCGGATTTGGTTAGAGCTTAGTTGATGAAAATTCGAATATTTATCAGTAATAAGAGAAAAATATGTGGAAGATGAGTTATTTACACGGGAGATTTTATTGCAACAATACAAAGGCTTTCACAAAGCAAAAATATACATGGTATAGACCATTGTACATAATTTATCACAGCAGTTAGCCCATAATAACGAATTACATTGAATAAATTATTGCAGAAATACTTTCCTTCTTCGGTAAAAATAGGATCCGTTATCTTTCGATTCATTCTTCTACACGTAAATCCCAATATCAAGCTACAACGGCGATGGGTTAACTTCGGCAGGAATATTATCTTGGGCAGTGGCACGAAAGAAGGGTTCTAATATCCCATTCATCTGAAGTAAACCATTTTCAAGCTCACTTCTCTGCTTCTTTGTTTTTTAAGTCTTTCTTGATGGTGAAAGTGACTTCCCACTTCCTCTTGTCCTTCAGAGGATCCGTGGGAAGTTTGAAAGTGTCACGACAACGTCCGTGGTCCACGTGGAAAGTAACAGGTTCGCTCTCTCCCTTCATTTTGGATGTGGCAGGCTTTTGGACGTCCGCAAAGGTGGCATTCCGATTTGTTTCTACTTTTAAGCTTCTTTTTTTTCCTGGGCTACGTTTGAATTTCGTCTCTCTGCTACTATCTCTGGCCATCTGCGTGCTCAATCTTGGCAGTTCACGTTTCTGAATTTTCTCACTCGTTATTTTCTGTGACGTATGTTTTACGCTCTGGAAATTTGGTAAACTGACTCCTTTTTTCATTCTAGGAGCCACGGGAGGGTTTCTGCTCCTATCCATTATATCGTCCATGCTCTTGGACTTAGTGGGGGTAATGTTAATCGATAATCGATGTTGAGTGGCCGTAGAAGAGCCTTCCAGCGTAACCAAGAAACTAACTGGAGAAGTCAAGGATTGTATCTGATCCAAAATAGAATTGACTCTACGATCGTGTCTACTATATCGAGGTGGAACGTTGGGAGTAGGCAGCGAAGGAAGGATGGGTCTGGTGCGTGCACAGGGCCTGAGAGCGTCACCTAATAAGGAAAAACGACATATCGGATATCGCGTTACAGATAAAATAGAGATAATTATATTACTTAATAGCAAGAAGAGGACCTTACCTACGCTACTTTCCGGTATTGTAGCCAACTTGCGCGAGACGTGTCTATGATGGCTGAAATTCCGTGATGTCATCTTGTCAGAGAGTAACAAATCCTTCTTCAGGCAACACTGTGAACGAAGCAAAAATTTAATTAATTAATTAAGAAAAGCAGAGAATAGGAGGAGCAGGAAGTTTCCTACCACTTTCTTCTCTTCGTCTTCACACACGCATATCCTCTTCTCTCGTCCAACTGCAAAAATGGACAAAGGACGTCGGTCAAGAATAAACAAGACGAAGGAAGACTATCCCAATGTTTCCTAACTACGACGCGAACCGGTCCTAAATTTGTATCGGGACTAAGGTTACGTGGATAAATCTAAACACAAATACCTAAAACATTTTCTGCAGTTGCAGTTGATCTGTACCTTGTGAGGTGGACTGCTCATTACTTTTGCAGCTCACGCATTGGATTACGGGATATTTGCCACCATCCAGACACACTCGGTGGCGAGTCGAAGGTCGACCACTGGCTTGGATGGCCACGTTGCGCCTGTAAAGATTTTCCACCATAAGAATGATTTCCGGACAAGGCTACCGATCTTTTTTCCATATAATTTGTTTTAAAATTCTTAAAAGTGATCGTTAAAAATGGGCGTGGGCTTTTTATCTTGATGTAACAATTTCCAAAAATAACCTTTTTTTTTTCTTTTTTTCAAACATAACCTAGAGGAAGATCGATGCTTTACTGATCGATATTCATTCGAGATTCGAGCTTGGATTACGTTTAAATTGATTCTAGATCGATGTCTACTATGAACAATCCAATCTCCACTTCTTAAATGTAAACGTCACGTTAAAAATAATGATGGAACTAAGTCGAGGGAATTAAAAATTGCTTCGGCCTTGTCTGCTCTTTTTTTTTTTTATTTTTGCGGGTGACACACTTTTCTTCTTATCTCGTGACACGAAAGGTCTAGTTCCTATCTGTACATTTGTCATTGTCTTGATTTATGGTCAAATTTCTCATTTTGATATCTATATCGCGCCCATTTAACTTCCTCAATTGTGATTTTGGTCTTGAATACGGGAAGCAAATTTACATGGCTTGTATCTAGACCTACTCCTACTGTTTCCTGACTTCATTATTTTGAATTTATGCAAAAATTGCGCTCGTTATAATCACTTCTAAATCTCTTTTTCTTTAATCAGCAAGACTGATACGCATAATGAGTCACGTTCTGTTAAGAGTACGTGTAACCGGAAGGGTGTGATAGTTGTTATGGTGCTAGCCCAGTTAAATGCGAATTTATTCCTTAACTTAATCCAATTTTCGGAGCAATTCGTCGTTCATTGAAAGGTTTAAGTTGTAAAAACACGCTACGCACTAAATTTAATGACGAAACAAATTTACATTAATTAGGTTTTCGGTTAGAAATGTGTACTTTGAATTATTTATTACATGTGTATTTCGGTAATAGGCATTTATACACTATTTTAGCAATCTAAATTATTAGTTTAGTATGAAAGAAATCTCTTTTAATAATAGAATAATTTACGAATTTCCTTCTGCCAATTAAGCTTTTCAGAAAGAAATGCATAGTGTATAGTACGATACTATCTTCTAATCATAAAATACGCACTTTCTATTCTCTTAAAATACTGTTCACTGAGAATACTAGAATACTAGTTTGCTCAGCACTAACAATAGTTTGTACTTTCTGCTCACTCGTAACAATCCTATGCACTTTTTTGCTCATTATTAACCATACAATGTATTTCTCTCTGCTCGTTGGCGTTAGTGTTGACAAAACAGTGTTACTGTTCCCAGCACTATAACAGAAACACCAATCTTTTTGTTTTATCAACTAACAACAAAACTGCGCATTTCGCATTACTCACTAGCAATTAACACTAGAGATTGTCTTCTATACAATGGTAACAGACCTACCAATTTCTCACTATTTATTGAAAAACTACATCACATATCACCTGTATTTCTTAAAGCAAATAACAGAACAATCTACATCGTGTATTCCTAACAACAAAGTAATTCAGAACACATTAAAATTCATTTTAAACAATGCGATCTTTCGTGTTTTAATTAAGGAATAACATAAACCATAAAATCCTTCTAAAATTTCTAAAATAAAGCATTATTCTTTTGAAAATTATTCAAGGATGTCGATAAGTGCAAATATTCAATCAAATTTACTTTAAGAATCCATTAAAGTAGAGCTATAACAGTCCAAGGACACTTCCTTCAGAAATATCTCATCGATTCGAAACGGAAAAAAATTAATTTTTAACAGCAAAACTGGGTTTAAACTCCACCCAATCGCACCTATATTAACGATAATAATGTGCTGTTCTACAATAAGAACTATTAAGTGAATGCCCACTTTTCTCAATGGATCACGTATCTCGCCCATAACTTGTACCTTTTTATCTTCTTTTTTAATAAGTGACGAAGGAAATCAATTTATTAACGAGTTCCCTGATTATTTTACCACGCGTGACGACATACTTTCGGTGAGCCTCTTCCCATTATTGATATTACACCACTGATCGATACACAGATATTAACAAAAGCATAACTCTACTCACGTTTTTGATCCTCCAATCTTCTTACCGAGAGAACTTCTTTCTTCTCTGGTGGTCCTGATGGTCACGGTCTTGTGTTTCTTGCAAGGCATCCGAACAGACGAACTATCCTTAAATCGGTGCCTTAACATTTTGTTTCTCTCCTTCTCTAGACTCATGTAAGAAACAATTTCATCTTCCGCATCTTCCGTGACGTATTCTTGATGATCTATCAGCGACGTCTCTTCTTTAATAATGGGCACACTTTTTTTGGCGCGACCTTTATCCGAAATTCTTCTCGAAGATACCGTGTCTGTAGTTCCAACCTCTTTGTAGCTTCCGGTGTAACCCGTTTTTCTCGTCGGAGTTTCGGGTAGGACATTTTTCAAACTGTTCTTGTGTTTGGCGTAACACTGACGAAATTTTTTCAATGCAGAATCTTCTTTGGTCATGGGCTTCACGCGTCGAGGTGAAGCTCGTTGATTGATTGGCGCTTTTGGTGGTTCCAAAGGTTCTTCAACTTTGATTTTTATCTCTTTGATTTCTTCCACTTTTGTTTCTTCTTTGATTTTTGTCACTTCTTTTGTCTCTTTGTGTTCTGCCACTTCTGTTTCTACTATTTTTGTCTCTTTCACTTCCATAATGTTTATAGATTTCGTGTCCTCCGTTTCGATATCTTCATTTATTGCCGAATCTTCGCGACTTTTCTTTTCTTCTTCTTCCATGGCATCTTGCTTCTTTCTTTCTTCGTCTTCAGGTTTTTTTGAGTGTTCCTCTGGAGTTTTTTGTATGCCATCGTTGTCTAAACTTTGTTCGTCATGTCTGAGCATAACTAAGTTCGTTTTTTGTCTCTTGTCGACTTTGCTTCCTGTCCGATTGGTTCCGTCGTCACTGCTATATGCGGCTTTCTCCGTGCATTGATTTCTGGACTGTAATGCGCCGCCCCGCTTTGGCTTAATTACTTTATTATTCTTAGTCGTGTTTTCGACGTATATCACGTGATCGTCTGTGTCTACCTTTCTCGGATAAGTGGCACCATCTGGTGCACCCTTTTTCACAGTTATCTCTTCTATTTTGGGCTGCCCTCTTTTGACTTTGCTACAAATTCTGTTTCTATCTATAGCCACTTCTCTTCCTTTTCTTGTTTGTAGCGGATGGTTTCTCAGTCCCAAATTGATCCTTTTATCTTTTACTTTCTTTTCTAGTTTTGTAAAATTTCGTTTTTCTACAACTTGTGACGAAATTTCACCTAACTCTTCCGAAGTAGAAGTTTGGATAATTTCCGTACCTTTCTCTTTAACATTTATTTTCTCACTCTCGTGAACTTTTGCCATACTCTCTCCGACATCTACGAATTTCATTGATTCGGCATCGAGATGAGCCATTGTTTTTTCAGAATATTCTGATCCTTCCACTGGTTCTTCTGTCACTTCATGAATATATTTTTCTTCCATAAATTCTAATTTGTCTTGGGTTTTATTCAAAATATTATCATTATCATCAATTTTTATTGATTCTTCTTTTTTATCCAAAACTTCAACTTTTTCATCAGTTTCAGCTTCAACCTTTTCATCAGCTTCATCTTCCACCTTTTCACCAGCTTCATCTTCCAACTTTTCATCAGTTTCAGCTTCATCTTCAACCTTTTCATCAGTTTCAGCTTCAACTTTTTCATCTTCTTTTGCTAGTTTTTCATCAACTTCGGTTTTTTCTTTTTGGTTATTTTCATCAGGAACAATTTTCTCTGATAAATTGCTTGAAACTTTATCCGAACTCCCTTGAAGTGAATCATCTTCCATCACATCTTCACTCTTAAGTTGTTGTATAGGATCTTCTTCATCTTTTTCAGCTTCTATAGTACTTAAGTCTTCGTTGCAAACTTCTGTTTTTCCATCGGCTTCTTTTTCCTGGTTGCTTTCTTTGTCTATCTTAGAATTCATTTCTTTACATTTTTCGTTGGTTTCTTCATTTATCTCATTTTTAATATCTTCAGTTTCTAAAATCAGGGAAATTTCTTTACTTTTTTTATGATTTTCTGTTGTTTTCACGCTTTTATCATCATTACTCTCCGAAATTACTGTGATTTCATTATCACTTTTCGATTCTTCGTCAGATTTTTCTTTTTCTAATTTTATTTCGGTATCAATAGAATCCAAAACCGAACCAATTTCAGAGCTTTTATCGTAATTTATAATCGATTCTTTTTCATTTGAAGATTTTATATTATTTCCATCTTCAACACTTTCAATTTCCGAATTTTCAAGTTCTTGTTCATTATATTTCTCTTGGCCTTTTCGTTCTTCATCTTTATCTGAGATATTTTTCTCTGATTCAACTTCAACCTTTTCATCTTCTGCTACTTTTGCTTCAGCTTCAGCTTCAGCTTCAACCTTTTCATCTTCTACTTTTTCTTCAGCTTCAGATTCAACCTTTTCATCTTCTGCTACTTTTGCTTCAGCTTCAGCTTCAGCTTCAACCTTTTCATCTTCTACTTTTGCTTCAGCTTCAGCTTCAACCTTTTCATCTTCTTTTACTTTTGCTTCAGCTTCAGCTTCAATCTTTTCACTTTCCTCTGCTACTTTCTTGTCATCATCTTCAACTTTTTCATCTGCTAACTTTTTGTCAGATTCAGCTTTCTCATCTACCTCTGATACATTTTCATCAACTTCAGCTTTAGCTTTTTCATCTCCATCTGTAAACTTTTCATCAACTTCAGCTTCAATTTTATCATTGTGATCTACATCTTCAATTTTCTCATTTGTATGTTTAATTATTTTACCTTCTTCATCATCACTCGCACATTTTACTTCATTATCTTTATCTGTTATGTTTTCTTCTACAACTTCATCGTTAATTTTTCTTTCACTTTGTAGTTCATTATCTATAATTGTATTCTTCTCTTGTAAATCTTTTGTAATTTCCACATTATCTGATTCACTTCTTTCCTCTTCTTCGCATACATGTTTTGTAATTTTTCCCATTGTTTCTTTCTCTTGAATTTCTTCGATGATAACAGTATTTAAATTTTGTGTTTCCGAAACCATTTCAGAATTTCCTTTTACTTCTTTTGCTTCCTCAATTTTTTCTTCTGAATTTAGATGCTGACATTCTTCATCATTCGAAATCGATTCAGGAACATTGTCTTCCTGGTTCATTCCCGTATTAAGATCTTGACATTCCTTATCATCCAAGGCATTTTCACTAGATTTATCTTGTATTTGTTCTAAAACACTCTGTCCTACTATCAATCTTTCTTCGGTTTCCTCTTTTTCTCCTACGCTTTTAGCATTTTCTTCATTCGTTTCAACTCCTTCAGATCTTACTTCATTATTTTCTTCATTAATTTTGATATCAGAAGTGGATTTAAATTGTGTTTCACTTTTTACATCTTTCACAATAATCTCTTTATCTAGAGAAGTTACAGACAAAGTTTGTGTGTCATTTACATGTTTATCGTCTTCTACAGTCGTTACTTTTTCCAACTTACTTTCTTCTCGACTCGGATCATCAACTAAAGCATCATCTTTGTCTATCTTTAAAGGTGATTCATCTCTTTCTTTAATTTCGTGTTCATTTTTTAAGTCTTGACAGTTAGACTCTAAAATTTTCTCTTCTTTTTCCTCTTCTGCAAAGTCATCTCTTGTAATTAATTTGTTAAATTCCTCGACTACCATAGCCATAAGTGTTTTCTCACGTAATTGTTGATTCTGATCACTTGCTGAAGCTGGAGATTCTCTATCAATTACTTTTTGTGAATCCATTGCTTCATCTTCAATTTCTGGGCATTTTATGTCACGAATTTGAACTGATTCTTCATCCAATGTCTCGTTTTCCTGAGAATCTTTTAGATCTTGTTTCTCACTCGAGCACTTCGTCTGCTCTCTTCTGTTCTCTTCCACTTCTTTCACCTCTTCTAACGTGTCGTTAGATGGATCGTGAGGAGGAATTTCCTCTTTTTTCGCTGATCGATCACTCGACAAACCCTCATCCATCATTTCAGTCGTGTGTGCGTGTTCATTCATTCGACTCTGTGATAGCTCTTCTTCGAAATGCTTTTTATCATCTGATCGTATGTCATCCATCTTTGTTTTAAATTCATTTTCTAAGCATTCCGATTCAATTTTAGAATAATCGCTTTCTATTTTATTCTCTAAATAGAGTTTAGAATAATCAGAAATTTCTTTTTCTTCGACTTTTCCATTTTCTACATTATTTTCACTACCTTCAACTTGAGTTTTCTCTGCTTCGTCCTTAATATTCCTTCTTTCGCTTAGCAATTCACTTATATTTTCATCTATTCCATGTTTGCACTCTTCATCCACAATTTGAAAATGTTCCTTCTTCTTCAGATTTCTTTCTTCATCTCGAGAAAATGAAGACCCGTCGTCTTTGGCTACGTCGTTATCGATTTTCGAATGTAAATATACAGTTTCACCTGTTTCACTTTTATTATGTAGGATCAATTCGTCTGTATCATCGATCTCTTCCTCGTCTATTCTTATTTCTTGGTGAGTTTCAAGTAATTTACCGTCAGATGTTTCTTCAATAAGTTGCTTACTTTCTTCTGCAGAATCAATTGATTCTGATTTATTCTTTTCAAAAGTATTATCTTCTTCATCACCATCAACTTCTTCTGGTAATACGGAATCATCATATTTATCATCCTTATGAGATTCTTTGATGGAGAATTCATTTGAACTGTCTTCTGTCGATTTTTCTCTAACTTCATCCATGACATCTCCCATTTGATTCTTTGATAGAGACTGATCTTTATTAGATTCGACTACCTCTAAATGTACCACTTCAGTTTCCGATCGCACCTTTTCAAAATCCTCCTCCTTCCTTGGAATAATTATTAAATTTTCATCTTTCTCAACATTTTCTCGATTAAAATTTTCTATGACGGGTGAAACAATACAAACCTTATTAGCATTTTTAATTGTGTTATCCTCATCTTCCTCCGTTATCCTCGTCATTTCTTTCCTTTCCATTGGCTTCTTTTCAGTTTTCATGGTTAGTATTAAATCTCTTAATTTATCCACAGATTTTTTAGTCTCCTCTTCTAATTTGGCACTCGAATCATCAATTATCTTACTCAGTTCTTCTTTCGTAGTAAAAATTTCGTCACTTAAAGTTGAAGAAATGTTACTGATCTTCTCCTTTAACTCCATTGTTGACAACTCGATTGTTTCTTTCAAAGAATTTGTGTTTGATGCATAATTTTCTTCCACTTCTTGATCTATTTGAACTCCTTTATCTACGTAAGCAACTTCTGTAATTTCTACCGTATTTTCTTCAAAATTTTGTAAATTATCTCTTTCTAAACTGTCTTCTAGAGGACGAGACGATACGCCTTCCGAATTCTCAACATTCGCAATTTGTACATCTGTAGTTTCAACACTGCTTAATGTAATGATAGGAAGTTGTACTTCTTGTTTCACTTTTAAAGTTTCGTCATCTTTACGTTTAACATTTTCTTCTATTGTTGGAAGTACAGGAACGGATTTTCCTTCATTTTCTGATAAATTTTCACTCGAATCCAAATATTTCTCAGCGTTTTCAATTAAATTTTTACATTCATTCGTGTGCCAATCATTAATTTCCGAAGAGTTTTTATAGATTGATTGATTTTGTTTTGTCGGTCGATCAGCTGGAGGATTCTTTTCCAAAATTTCAGGAGATAACTCTAATGAAGCAGATGACTTCTTTATAATTGATAAAGAAGAGTTGCGTTCATCTGAATCTTTCGTTTGCTCGTCTTTCTTTTCCTCGGAAGTAGCGAGAGGAGAGGAAATGAGTTTCGAATCTCTTATTTTGATTGAAGGATGGACACGTTCTTCGATTTCTGAATGATGTTTCTGCCGAAGATACCTTTCTTGTTCAAGATTTTTATTATTTTGCCTACAATATTCTTCTGTAGATTGCTGTTTTGGTTTTCCTTTAAAAATTCCATCTTGAAGACTTTCATTTTTTAAAATTTCCTCTTCTTTCCTTCGTTTTTTCAGATAATATATTACTTTCTTCGTCGCCTTCTTCCACTTCATTATCACAGTCCTGGGGCGGCTGTTGCTTGATTTAGTTGTTCTTTTTATATTTTCCTCTTCTTTATTTAATAAATTTTCGTGTTTGCAAGTGATGTCGGAGAGTGCGCTCGCTCTTTTTAAATTAGATTTAAATGAAGTTCTCTTCCTCTGTTCGTTAGAGCTTGAAGATGATGATTCTCTTCCCGAAGACGAATGATGATGCTTTTTCCTCTTAGATTTTTGCCTTTCTGGAATCAAATTAAATTTGGAAATTTCTTCAGAAGAATCCGAAAGTGAAATAGAAATTGATTCGGAAGCAAAAGATGAGAGATCATCATCTTTATCTTCAGGAAACTTTCGACTTTCTTCCGAAACAACCGTTCTAGTATACAATGGTGCATTCTGACGAGTACTCGAACGATTGTTAGTTTTCTGTGCGTGAATTTCTGGCAAAATAATTTCTGTAGAAGAACCAGGATCTTGAATTTTGTTAAGCGATTGTTTTTCGATTTTTGTTGTCTCTCTCGATCTAGTTGCGTGTCTTATAGCCGGAAGAGTTTCGGAACTTTCACTAGACGAAGTAAAGCTGTCGTATTTTATATTTTTCTTACTGTTTTCGGGTATTTTCTTCGTATATTTTGTCTTATCTGCTCGAATTGTTAAATCCACAGCGTTATCTTCTCTGGAATTGTATCTTTCGTACGTTTTTCCTTTATGATAGTTCTCGTTTTCAATGTTTTGCAAATGATCAGAACTAACTTCCAAGATCTTCTTTCTATCTCTTCGCCATTTTTCTTTTTCAGGAAAATCTTTCTGATTTGAATAATTTGCGTTTTTATCAAATTCGCCATCGCTTCTTGACGTTTTATCCTTCTTAATCGTCTTATCTTCTCCACATTCTTCCGTTCTGCTGTCTAAATGAATGGAATTATTATATTCTTCTCTTCTGATATTTTTTTGATGATAAGTCTTATCAAAAGTTCTATTTTCATGATGTTTCCTTTTATACAAATCATCGTCTGTTGACGTCTCCCTATCTTCAATGTTATTCTTCTTTCTCCTTGTTGTTCTAGGTGCATTTTTATACGAATCGTCCTCGTGCAATTGTTTCTTCGCGTACAGAGAAGATTTCTCGTTCCTGACATTCCTATTTTGTATCAGATTGTCGGAATGTCGATCAAAATCGGAAATAGAGAGTGATTTTTTCATTTTCCTTTCAGACTCGTGATCTGCTCCTTCCACATCACTTCTACTCTTTCGTCTTATCTTCGCGTTATCCGCTCTTTCTAAATGATTCTCTTCAATATTTCTTTCCCTGTCGCAAGAGATGCTGCTCCCATTTCGATATTCGAAATTCGATGTTCCGTTGGATTCCCTATTCATTTCCATCACTGTGGGCAATCTGTTGTTTTTTCTATGGCTCTCTTCCGATACTTTAGCATTTTCTGGGGTGCTCCTGGTCTTCTCTTCCTCCTTATACACGTAAATGTTATTTATGATTAACTGATTTGAATTATCGTCTCGTTGATCATCCTCCTCTTTTTGTGTAGTGGGAAGGCGCTGAGAACTTTGAGTGAGAGATTCCCAAAGGTCCCAGATGTCCACTTGAGACAGTCTGACGTGCACACCCGAATCGAGATGTTCGCACCTATCGCGCGCTGGCTGATGAGAAGGGGATGGAAGACTTTCTCCTCCTTCGCTATTGGCAATGGGCGAGGTGGTTCCTTCGCTGCTAGAAGGTCGAGCACAACTTTCAAGGAGGTTAACCAATGACCTAGAAAGTAAAATTAATATTCGTGTTCAAATTTGCAAGCTAAATACATTAAAAGATTGACTACTCCTCCTTCTCCGAATCACTCAGCGTAATCACCGCTTTGGGTATTAACTCTTGCAATGTTAAATCAATAATATTGATTTAGTCGTGATTAGAATTTTTCATGGTCTAAAATTAAAGTGATTTTTGTAAAATTTTGCATTGACCTTGCTTCCAAAAATTGCATAAATCTACTTGGTTTGACCTCCATTTTTTATAACGTCACAATTGTCCCCAAATGGGATTATGATCAGAAAAGTTTGAAGTTCTCTCCAGGAAAATTAGCAATTCTTGGAAAGTTTTCTGTACATTTGAAGAAAATTATAATTTCGACGTTAAGAATTATAGAATATGCAAATGTAATTTATTTGCGCTTCTGGAATTATTTTTAAGATGAAAGAGGGCGTTAAATATGCCAACTGTTTCAAGGTAAAGAGGTGCATATCATACGAAATTTTAAGAAACATGGATAAAAATTAAGTAATTAATCTTACCTGCTCATTTCGCACTTTTCCAGCAGTTTATTAGCAGGTAATGCCCCTTGAGATTGAAGGTATTTGGCACATCTTCGATATCTACGGGAAATTGCAGCATCTAAAGGAGTCATCAATACACTCTGCAATTCAAAAAGTCAGATGTTATTTACATAAAATTATTTAAATATATATTTTGAAGAAAGATTACTTTGCTAGTTTTCATGAGAGCATTGAGCGAAGCCCCTCGATCTATTAAAAGTTGACATAGTTCGATATTGTTATTTGTAGCTACGATATGCAATGGTGTCTTTCCATGAATGTTCGGTGCGTTGACTGCATTGTTTCTTTGGTCTAAAAGCCAGCATACTAAGTCTGGAAGAATCAGAATCAAAATTCTGAAAAATCATTTAAATAATTCAATTTTCTCTCACCTTTTCTACCGAAATGCACCGCTTCGTGAAGAGGAAGATCACCCTTGAGATTTCGTATCCACAAGTTGGCTCCGTGGTTTTCCAAAATCTTCAGCATTTCTAAATGACCCTTAGCGGCACCGCAATGGGCTGGTCTAAAAAATGACTTGTTAAAATCGCGTTTTATGAAAGTTAACAGAACATATAAGTGCATAGCTCACGTCCTTCCTTTCAAATCACGATGGTCAGCATCCGAACCGTATTTCAGCAATAGCTGGGTGCAGTCGGCTTGGCCCATAGCCACCGAGTAGTAGAGAGCCGTGCATCCACTGTTATCCGTTTCGTCAATGTTGGCACCACATAAAGTAATCAACACGTCCACGCAATCGGTGTGACCCCTACTCGCAGCATAATGCAAAGCTGAAAGCCAGAAACTTTAGTAAATCAGAGTGCGCCTCATTATATTTAAAATGTGTGGATTAATCACCCGAAAGTCCATCGTTATCTTTTGCATCAATGCTGCCGCCAGCCGAAATGATGCTCAAAATGGCGTCGCTGCTACCCGAACAGGCGGCCCAAAGAAGAGGTTGCCTTCCCTCTTGATCCCTGCAGTCGACTTGAGCACCGTGTTGTAACAAGAGACGAAGCACGCCCAGAGCAGCCCTTCTATTTGGATTGTATCTTCCACTCATCTGAGCCACGTAATGCATTGGATGAGCTCCGTGGATATCGGAAGTTGATATCTTAGCACCTGCATCGATCAGAATCTCCAGACTCTCTACATCTGCGCAAACTGAGAGTATCAAAATTGTTAAGCTCCCCCTGGTACATACTTAGTTAACCATTTAAAATTACTCACCCGTGGCCCAATGAACGCAAGTGTGTTTCTCGTTATCCACGGCATCGACGTCAGCACCCATTCTGAGCAGGAACCTGGCCATCACTTTATTACCACTGATAACGGCCAAATGCAGAGGAGAATATCCATCGTTGTCCTGAGCATTAACAAGACTCTTTTCTATAGAAAGCACCTGATAGGCGCAAGAAAGGGAACTATTTTCGGCGCAGTAGTGCACAGCCGTCTTTCCATAACGGTCTCTATTGGAGGCCAGGAAGGGCTGAAAAATAAAAGTCACAGATTAATATAATTCTTCTAATAAATTGTAAATTTACGGAGTGAAAATTTGAAAGCTTTCTACTAAAAGGGTTCGAGTTAGATTTTTTAGATTTTGTTCTTTTTGATCATATTTAGGCTCCAGTCAATTAAATCTTTATTATATTCAACAGAGATGGCATTAATAGTAAAGGACAGACGGCCGGGTGACCAAGGCAATTGTAGTGTCATCCTACCGCTCTGGGGAGCCCGAGATCGAATCCGGGAGATGAAGAAACGTGGGAATTTTTCATGGATTGTCTTTCTAGGATATATCAAACCCTATCCCTCACTACTGGGTCGTCCCATTCTGGGCCTGTGAAAACCTACGATGGATATGTGAAAAAAACCCTCTTGGTGTACATAGGGCGAAAAGTGTTTAAAAATATGGTAAACGATAATCACAGTTAGATATAATTACTTTCAAGAGTAAGAAAAATTAATCCTCATATCTAAATTTGTATTTAAACGATAATAAAATGATTTCTGACTTTTAAAAACGCTTTCTTCCTTGTGGACAATAAGAGGGTCTGTTTTTAGCAAGGCCATTATGAGTTCAGTTCAGACACACAATGGGAGCAAACTGCCAGCAGAAACGTACTTACGTATTGCAATTTTACATAACTTTTTAAAGATCTTATTAGAAAAATCTCATAAATTATAATTAAAACTGGCTTTCTGGAAGTTCTCGACCATAAATTTATTATATTTTCTGTTATAAATAATGTTTTATAGAATAAACTTAATAGATAGACGAAGAAATATTACCCAAACGAATTAAACTCTAATTTCAAAGATAAAGAAAAGAAGAAAAAAGTTTTCTGTCTTTCCTGCTCGAAATTAACTTACCGATAACATGCCATTTTATATAACAAGAAATAAATTAAACATAAGCTGACCTCTTTTTTCGCGCTTACGAAACAAAGATCGTTGAACCAAGCCACTAGTACAATATAAATTGCTAATCTTCTGGAAATAAATCTTTCAGCCTCTGTAAACTTAATTTAAAAAAATATATTTCATGCTATGTGACTACGATATTACCTACCTTTTGACTTAGAATCATCTTAACATCTGCATCTCTTCCTTGTTGACAAGCGAGCATCAAGTTGGTAACTCCGGAGGACATTTGCCTTCGATTTCTTTGATCCATCCAAGATTTTTTTAAGTCACGAAAGCTAGGTGGATATCCCGAATCCGCGGATATCCAGCCGATCCGGTAACTTTCTTCATGGCGGCTTGTTATGGAATCTGAAATCAAAAGAATCTCTGGTATGAATCGATACATCTGCTAATTACAAATTGGCTTTATAGATCAAATTTAAGCACATAGATAAAGGACCATAACGTTAAACTATTTACCATTAGTATCAAGATATTCTAGCCAGAGGAAGGAATTAATTCCACTCTTCACTGCTCCTCTACTCCTGTATCACGATCTTCATATCTAATCCGCAAGAAGAGCAAGGTAAATTTGTTTTTAATTAAAAAGCATTATAAATTTTCATAATTACAGCTTATGGCTTCATTTTGTAATCATTTTTTATGTATAATCATAAAAATCTCTCAGATTTACCTGCATCAATGATGATATTTGAGCAGAAAAATGATCCGTTTCCGTCTGAATCGGGGTAACTTTTACCTTGTCACGTCGTTAAGTACATGACGATTGACGTGGAGATCAATAACAAAATTAGTTTTTTTCCGTACAGACCACTTCAATATATCAACTGAATTAATTGAAGATTCATGGAGCTCCTGCAAAATAATTACAAGAAAGGTAAACACCTTGACATCAAAACTCTATAATCTTAATGATAATTACTCTACCAGAAAGTTAGCGACCTTCTCTTCTTCTTTTTTCGTAATCCAGATCGTTTGTCATTATGGGGCGTCTTCTATAACACGTTCCTAATAATAATAAAAAAATTATGATGATATTTTTAGATATTTAATTATTTTTATTAATAACAGCTCACGTATTCACTTTAACTTTAGCTTTTCACTTTCTATCTCGATGCTCTAATTAATTTTGAAAAATTATTTCTCTCTTCCCTCATAAATTTTATACTATTATATTCATCTAATTAAATATTCTAAAGCTTGAAAATTCATTTAAAAAATATATTTTTTTGACGTTGCCAGTCGTGCTTGCTGATGGTTGGCAACATTGACTCCATTTCACGTTTTAAAGGAGGAAGCAATGTTGCCACCTCATTCATTTTCTACGAAATTTAATTAAAAATTTCTACGAATAAAAACTTTTTACGAGAATTCTTTTATAGTTTTATGGATTGATAAATTTAAAATGGAGTAATAATATTTAAAGTTGGGGGTTTTATAGTTAAATGAGAATTAAAATTGTTTAACGATATTCATAATTATTTCAAGAATATAGAAACAATATAAAGGATGAAAGCCCTATAAATCTAGCAGTGGACTTGGCCGAACTCACGTTGAAGACTGGAAGATCTCTGTAAAACTCATTGTAGAAGGTTCTGTAAGTGGTCTTCGTAGTACAATCTACTATCTACACTTACAGGGATGGCTTATAGTTAAAAGGCTTTCGTGGCAGAAAGAAGTTTTCAAAACATGTTTAAAAAATGGCACAAATTAGATGAAATCGGTTCAGAATTTTAGCAATTATTATGGATTATCTACACAAATTGTTAAAAAGAACTTAAACATACTCACTTATGAAACTTCAGCCTTCTATCTGTGCCGCTAACATCCACTTTTACTCATTTGTAGTGTGTTTTAGTAGCCTATAAAGTACGAAAGGTTTTGTATTGGTTCGTAACTCAGATTTTTATTACTAGTTTACGACTTTTCAACGAAATCGAATAAAATTTCCGCTCAAAAAAGAGGTGGTAACGAGCGTAGATGACCCGAATATACAAAACGCCATTGGCTCCGATAACCTACATCTATTTGTTAATAGAGGAAGGAACTAATTTTTTTTAATAAGTCAAAGAAGTAAAATTTAATGGCTACAAAATTGGAGCGATTTGAAATTGAGCCATTTATTTTTGTGTGGCCATCTTTAATATTTCTATGCATGATAAACCATCGAATTATTGCATTATATGATAATTTTCAGCATAGTTAGAGAAGTAAAGGGAGTTCTTATGATATTTCTCTTCTAATTCGAAGAAGAATATCATAATCTAATAATATTTATCAATGGAAAAGTGATGAAGATCTGCATCTTCATACAGTTGAGTAAATTATTAGAAAAATTAATTATAAGTTAATGTATCAGAAGTAGGAAGAAGATCGTCCTAAAATGGCATTTACAGATCATTCCCCTGAAAAAATAAATCATTTACAGGTTTTTCTACGGGTCAAAGAATAATCGAATGACATAATTCAGACTGGCATAACAGATAATAATAATCTCTTTAATAATAATTAAAAGCTAAGTTAAAGATAATCGACGGAAATTGAGGTGATTGCACTCTTAGTTCATTTATAATTTTATCGAAAAGAGATAATTTAACGGCTTAATTATCCGATAATAAATATACAGATTAATTTCTTACGATTAATTCGTGTGATATGATCTAAACTAAAGTGAAACTTTGATGTATTAACAATTATGTACGTTATAATGAAGACAGACATGCACATTGACATTCCTGTAAATCATTAAACCGTTTTTATTTCTAGAAAGGTTCATTTTTATTCTGCAGAAGTCTAAATGTTAAGTAATTCACGTTCTGTTTTGGCTCAAAACATAACTTGATTAGTAATCCCAAAAGTCAGTTAACTTAGAATTGTTTTAAGAATGATTAGAATCGGTTTAATTCGTCATTTATTGAAAACTGACTTTTGGGCCAACCTGTACCTTTAATTTTTCTGTTCTGTTGGATATTTTCTATAAAATCCCAGTCGAATGAAACATAAAACGTTATTTAAAGTGTTTTTTCCCCTCTCTTTTCTCTATTTTCCCAGTGGAATTTTTTTGTTAATCTATACTATAATTTAACAGAAAATTGTAATAATGTCGTCACGGTCGACTCCTATTCATTATCTTTAAATCTATTAAAGTTCTTTCCCCCGAGACGGATCCAGATTCTATTGTTGGTGTGTTTAAATGCCAGATATATTGAGATTCAAAAGAGACGACAGACTGTTATGCATTAAAATAGTTGCATAAACGTTTATATTCGTTACTAAAATACGTAAAAATCTCTCGAAACTATTCTAAAAATTAATTCAAATAACATATCCATACATTGAAGCATTTTCACATATTTTCTAGGCATACAACGTACAGTACAGTACGTAAAACATATCGTAATGTATTTTGCATTACGTTACGTTACATTATGCTGTAGAGTAACATACTGTTACAGGCCATTTTGTTTTATTAAGATACATCTATTCAAACATTGTAGCTCTTCTAGTTATAGAGAAATGAGTTTTATATGTATTCAGATGTTATTATTTTAGTTAATTAAATACTAAATATACAAAATTAGCAGAATTTAATGATGAAAAAAATTCAAGTATTTTATACACGACCATATTTAAATTCATTGTAATCCAGAACATTAAAATATCTGATGATATCTCTAGAATATTAAACGATCTTCCAATTTTATACATCACGATTTTCATCTAATACTCTCTAATGGATTTCTATTTTTAGTAATTTAATCATTAATTTTATTTTTTAAAAACTAACTATATTATTATTATTGTATAAATTCGTTTAATTAATTCATAAATTTTAATTATGCAAATTAACTCTCTCCTGTTATAATCATAAATCTTTGCTCATCTCCATTTTTTTTAATGCTAATTTGTTAAGCAAAATGCGACCTTTTGAATTATTAAGTTTATCAGCTAAGGTAACGCTCCAGTTGGAGACGAACACGCCCGAAACGCGTGGTCAATGATGCAATTATGGACTCGAATACACGAAGAGTCCAACGTGTAAAATTTTCCACGAAAGAATTAAACCTCTATAAACTGTATTTTCGATAAATATCGTGCCCAAATTCATCATTCTTATAAAGGTAGAATGAATTACATCCACAGTTCGAATGTCTTCTTACTAATAAATTATCTAAGTGGCAGGATGACTATTAAATATTAAAGATGATCATCTCTAACCACCATTAAGTGTGGAAATGTTGAAGACTTTGGTACGTTAACCCCTAGACTTTCGTCTTTTAACGGAATATTTGGATAATATTTTATTATTTTCGAACAATTTGAGGTTAATGATTTTGTTCGAATGAATTGGAATACGTCAGTAGCGAAGTTTCTTCTAAGAAAAACTGTAGACTCATTGTTCTGATGTAGAAAATATCGAACCGAATCGATCTCGATAATTTTCGTGTTAAATATGGTTTCTTCTGATATAAAATTTAAGTAATAAAATATATTTTTTTGTTAAAATCTTTAAAAATGTTAATTTTTTTCATTTATTGAGGTTTGCCCCTGATGTTGGTTTCACTGTTAGGTTCTTATGTTTGCAGAGAAGAGTGATTTACAGGAGACACGAATGTTTTATATTTATCTCTTTTTTGGGGGGTTATTTTTATTAAATTTGATGAGTTATATTTAAATTATATAAACCAAATAAACAGACGTTTTTCCTAGTTAAATAATTAATATTTATCCAAATTTAAATTGAATTATTTAGAATTTTTGAGAGCATCTGTCATACAATTGAAAGACTCACTTACTTTAAAATATATTTAAATATTTTCTGTTTATATAAAAAAATTCGTTAAATAAACAAGAAATTTACTCAAATTTATCCTATTTTATGTCATTTTTAATGACGTTTCTATTAAAGTAATGTGGGTATAAAGTAACCTCAAAGATGCTTTTTTTTCTTAATATTATAAGAAACTAAGAAGAGATATTCTTATAATCTTCCAGAATTTATAAGATTTAAGTGACATTAAGAAGGAAATAGTTTCTATAGCGTGTTACAGTTTCGCGTGATGGCACGAAGCATATCTGAGAGAAGAGACGAAGTTATGTTTCATAATACTTAACTGAACTTGAACAGTGATGATAATATAATAACACGACATTGATACATGCTATCATCATCTATCAACTTGTATTTTAAACGTTTTTTTTAAAGATAAAGGTATATTAGCCACCTGCCTAACTGAATAAAAGATCTTCGTGTTTAACTATACATTAACTATTTTAAATTCAAGAAGTAGAATAATCGATGCTTACTAATCTCGATAAAAGTCTATTTGATGAACTTTCTTATATTCTATCCTATTTAAAAAATAGCTTCTATCGTCTCCATCTATTATCTAAAAATTTAAGTTAAAAACTAGGTAAAGTGTACTTACTTTTTATTATATTTTCTACAATTTAAACATCCTTTCCGGGAAGTTTAACCGACAAGAAACAACCTTGACTGCTAGATGGCTATTATCCTTTGATAAAGTTAATCGAAGTTATGTACCTGTCGTCATGGCGACCCGACAGACCTATTTACATGAAGGCTCGTGTGGTGTAAAAACGGCACTCTCGCGGACGATTCTAGAATTATATACTGACTTTCCCAGCTGCACTATGGGAAAATATCAAGCGGTGGAGTCACTAATTTTTCGTATTTTTATGTGTAACAATCTCATTTAACAGGAAAATATTCCATTTGCCTAATTAAAAATGATCAATAGTAAAGGAGGATGCCAATCTATCACGTGAACGAATTAAGGATAAAAGAACGAGATGATTCCTTATCTCTTCAATGAAAATATTATTAATTAATGCGTGTAATTCTCTAAATATTACTCGATTCTAGTTATAATTTTTTATAATTGATACGCAACACAGTTTTATTCGTTACGCGTATAGAATTTACTCAAAGTTCGAGGTCAAGTCTTTGCAATTATCGACTTTTGAAAATGAAGAGTGACATTATTTATAGACTATTTATAATAAAAATTACGCGTGAATTAAATTTATTATAGAATTTTACAGATTTTCTTTTAAAATTTTGGCTTCTTCTCTTTATATTTTTATACATTAAAAGCACTGATACATATCTGATATTATTAATTATAGCACTGATATTATTAATTATTGGATAAGAAAAAGCTTAATTTTGAGGGTAGAGATGAGTTTTATAAAATATTGTAAATGCTAATAACGAGAAGACTTCATTAAATCACTCTTCACTCTAGATATGACACACGACCCCCTCTATCTCCCCATCCATTTGACCTTCAACCACCAAAATTTAACAGAATCAGTGTCCTTTATATACAAATCTCCCTGCAAAATTTTAGAAATTTTCGACAGAAGGTATAGGAGTTATTAAGCCTCAAAGTGGGTGAAGAGGATCGTGCTCCTTCCATATATACACACATACATCCATACGTACATCGATACATACAGAGAAAATCCCGAATTTCTCTACATTTCAAGTCCAAAAAAATGACCCCCATTGATTGGAGTCTTCTTTTGACTCATCACCATACTTTCTTTCTCATATATAACAGCAGGAAAGGAAAAGTAATTAAATTCGATTTTTTTCAATTTATTTTAAACTGTATATTTAGTGTTAAATACCTGGAAAATATTTATAATTTCTAGAAAAATACTGTGAATTTTTCTAGAAATAAACTTTAATCTAGTTGATAAATTAACTCTCAAAAATCCATTTGCCTCTTATGATCCTTCTTCAGAAGATGCTTACTAATTCATCATTTATCATTATCTTTTAGACTAAGGTAAATTTATTTTAAATTTTACAGTTAAAATACAGATAAAAAGTGTAAATTAACGTATTTAATGGCTTAACATTTTTATAATATTACACAAGAGAGTAGAATCTTGCGTGATCATCACTTCTTGAATGATGAATAAACCTTTAATAACTTCCGTTTCCGGTTGTACATCCGTAAGCAAATCGACATACACGATTACGTGGTCCAAAATTTATATATAAAAGCTTAAATTTATGCAATTTTTCTATTATATTAGCTAAAAATAGGGCGCAAGTTTCTACCAAAATTTTGAGAAGATTGAATTTATTTATAGAGTTTCTATAAAGAAATATAACGTGTAGATGACCCCTGATTCTCATTAAAGCAATAGAAATTAGATTTTCAGGTCTTAAGTTTATTAATTAATTGTTTCTAATTATAAAAGAGGACATATTCAATTAACTAATAAGAGAGATGATGGATCACTGTATACTTTAGTTAATTAATTAATAAGAGATATTTTGTTCACTCCACTTTAAAAGTTATTTTTAAAGTGAAGTGAACACGTGCCTTTTGTCAAAAATTTGTCAAATTTCGCACGGAGGTCTGTGTATTTGGGGCACTGACGCTGTTAAATTTTGGGGATTAAAGGTCAAGCGGGTAGGGAGATAGAAGGGGTCGTCATATCTCGAGTGGGGTCGGATGTAATNATACATACAGAGAAAATCCCGAATTTCTCTACATTTCAAGTCCAAAAAAATGACCCCCATTGATTGGAGTCTTCTTTTGACTCATCACCATACTTTCTTTCTCATATATAACAGCAGGAAAGGAAAAGTAATTAAATTCGATTTTTTTCAATTTATTTTAAACTGTATATTTAGTGTTAAATACCTGGAAAATATTTATAATTTCTAGAAAAATACTGTGAATTTTTCTAGAAATAAACTTTAATCTAGTTGATAAATTAACTCTCAAAAATCCATTTGCCTCTTATGATCCTTCTTCAGAAGATGCTTACTAATTCATCATTTATCATTATCTTTTAGACTAAGGTAAATTTATTTGAAATTTTACAGTTAAAATAGAGATAAAAAGTGTAAATTAACGTATTTAATGGCTTAACATTTTTATAATATTACACAAGAGAGTAGAATCTTGCGTGATCATCACTTCTTGAATGATGAATAAACCTTTAATAACTTTTGTTTCCGGTTGTACATCCGTAAGCAAATCGACATACACGATTACGTGGTCCAAAATTTATATATAAAAGCTTAAATTTATGCAATTTTTCTATTATATTAGCTAAAAATAGGGCGCAAGTTTCTACCAAAATTTTGAGAAGATTGAATTTATTTATAGAGTTTCTATAAAGAAATATAACGTGTAGATGACCCCTGATTCTCATTAAAGCAATAGAAATTAGATTTTCAGGTCTTAAGTTTATTAATTAATTGTTTCTAATTATAAAAGAGGACATATTCAATTAACTAATAAGAGAGATGATGGATCACTGTATACTTTAGTTAATTAATTAATAAGAGATATTTTGTTCACTCCACTTTAAAAGTTATTTTTAAAGTGAAGTGAACACGTGCCTTTTGTCAAAAATTTGTCAAATTTCGCACGGAGGTCTGTGTATTTGGGGCACTGACGCTGTTAAATTTTGGGGATTAAAGGTCAAGCGGGTAGGGAGATAGAAGGGGTCGTCATATCTCGAGTGGGGTCGGATGTAATGGAGATTTTATTCGTTATTAGCATTTATAATTTTTTAAAAATGAAATTTGGTACCAGATGGTGCCACACACAATTTTAACTTTTGGCTGGAAGTGTTACGCAACTCTGTATTAGATTTTATAGATGTAAGTCGAATTAATTAATTAAATATCTGATCTTTCATAATTATAGATTTTTGTGTATGCAGAATTTTATACGAAATGAAAAATTTACATGATAATTAAGGTGTGAATATTAAGAATTTTATCTGGGAAATCTGGGAAATAAACCTATTTTTCGGCCAATTTTTTGTAATTTGCTAAGGATAATTGTTTATTTTTATGATTTATAAGATAATTCTTTACTTTTTACTTATAAATTAAAAAGAATTTGATTGGTATCGTCTTTATATTTTCATATAAGATGTATTTCATCCGTTGTTTTCAATAGAATTTTAGACAGGAGCAATGTATTATTGAACGAAAACATTTCCTTGGATTGTTTGCTTAATAAGTTAACAGAATACAAATGAATAATCGTAGTTAAATGCTATTGATCCTAAAGATTTCTTAGAAAGTTCGAAGAAACATCTTTGATTAATTGAACTGTTATCGATAAGAACATAGTAAACACTCACAGAAATTACTTTTATACGAATGTCTTTAATATATATCATTAGAAATTGTAAGAAATAACATTCTAAATTTAATTTCTTACAATTTAAATGAGTAAGAATTTTTTTATCTCTATACAAAACTGATAAAACATTCAGGATAAAGGATTAATGGAGGAGGAATAAAGTCTTAGGATAAAGAATTAATGGAAGATTGTAAAAAGCTTTAGGTTGAAACATAGATGAAAATTAGTAATAAATGTTGAATTTTTTAAGAAACAAGTGAAGGATGCGGAATTTACCTCATAATTTATCATTTCTACGTGATAATTCCAGGCAATAGAGAAGCAGCGTGGCCATTTAGTTCAGGTTTTCAATACAGAGAGACCAAAAATTTAGTCCTTTATGTTAAAAAAATTGCTGGAAAACTTGTTTTATCAATATTATTTATTGCTTTAAATGAGGGATCTTTCTTATCCAACGTAAGAACTTACCTATAAGGTATTAACTGTTTTAAACACTCAGATAAATTCAAATCTGTAATCATTCTTTCAAGTTCTTTTATGTTTATTCTTTATTTATTATTTTCACACGCAAATTTTCAATCTGTTCGCAATAAAATTGTGATTTCTGCATTATTAACGTTCTGGCATCGCACGAATGATCCAAGAACACGCCCTAAACGCCTGGTCGACTGTACAATTATATAGTTTTAAAACAAGAAAGGGGTTTAATTTATAAATTATCTATAAGTAAATAACTAGAATAATGTCTATGTTAATTATATATTTTACAAATGATTAATTATACAGAGTATTCTCGTTTCTTACTCCCTAGAACGCCTAGAAAACTGGATATTAAGCGTATATATTGAAGGATGATTGAAAGATTATATTATGATTTTGTCTCGGTATCTATTACGATGTTTATTAAATATTAAGAAGCAATTAATTGTGGGAAAATCAGGATTAATCACAACCTATTCTCTTGAATTTTCTTTGGAAAATTAATGAAAATATCAAAATATAGAATAATATTAATAAATCTTTCAACGTTATAGCATCTTGATATCATTTCAGCAATCTTTGTTGTATGATAAATGTAAAAAAAACTAATTTATATTATTTTATATAAAATTTTCTTTATAAATTATTTAAAATTTGCAAATTTGGATTATATTTTTTTCAATGAAACTGTAAATACAAGTATAGAAAAAAAAATGACACCTGTTGTTCGGCTTCTCCTTTAAAGTCGAGAGTTAAACAGGAAAGATAGATTTACAGGAGTTGTGGATAAATATTCGATTATTTTATCCGGAGAAAATGCAATTCTATTTATAAATTATTCTTTAGATTAATT